CCCCCCCCCCTTTTCAACCCCGTGTAGGTGGCCCCCAAAAGCACGCGGGCGAACCACCCTAATGATAGCGCCTGAACCGCGTAGGGTAGGCCGACCCGCCAAGCAGCTGCGGGGAGACGGCTGCTAGCCCCTGAACGTTCTCTCGCGTCAGTTCGGGAAACGTTCACACCATGGGGTTAGCGTGAATAACAACATGATTACTAAGTTTTAATGCGCCTTCTTCTTCCTTCAGGTCGGGATCATGCCATCCGCCCTTACAACGACTACCGCGCGCTGTGCAACCTCAAGAGAGCGACCACGTGGGACGACCTGTCGCGCGAGATCCCCGCCGAGGTGATCGCCCGTCTGCAGCGCATGTACCCGACCGTGGACGACATCGACCTGTTCCCCGGAGGACTGTCGGAGCGGCCACTCCAGGGTGGGCTCGTCGGGCCCACCTTTGCCTGCATCATCGGCATCCAGTTTAGGCAGATCAGAAAATGTGACCGTTTCTGGTGAGTCCTGGAGATTTTTCCAGGGGCGGCTTGTTCAGCAGGATCAGACGCGTCCGTATAAAACCGTGAGACAAGACATTTTACGTTTGCGAAACTCAACCCCGCTTGCGTCTGCAGGTACGAAAACGATGACCCGGTCAGCCGTTTCACTGAAGCTCAGCTGGCGGAGATCAGGAAGGCGACACTGTCCAAGATTCTCTGCGCCAACCTGGACGCCGAAAGCGACATGCAGCGCTCGGCCCTGGACCAGCCCAACAACTTCCTGTAAGTTTCGTGGTCCCGGAAGGTGCACCTATCCCACAATGAACGTTGGGCGTTGAGGCGGGCCGCCGTCTTCGCACAGCTGCTTGGCGGGTTGGCCTATCCAGCGCGTGACAGGCGCTATGCTTAGCGTCGCCTGGTGGTGCGGCCAAGCGTTCATTTTGGAGACACCTTGAAGTAAAACAATTTTGACTCAACTCTCCTCCTGCTCCCCGCCACAGGAACCCCCGCCTTCCGTGCCACTCGCTGCCCAGCATCGACCTCAACGCCTGGCGGGAGACCCACCAGGGCTGCAACATCGGCGGCCGGTCCGTGGCCGTGGGAGAGTCGTCCCTGCCGTCGCCCTGCACGTCGTGCATCTGCACCGAGGAGGGCGCGCAGTGCGCCTCGCTGCGCATCACGGACTGCGGCCAGCTGATGCGCGAGGCGAGCCGCGACTCGATCCTCCGCGACGACGTGTGCATGGCGCAGTGCGGCTTCCTCCTCGAGCCCATCGACGCGGCTGCGGCGCCGGCCTCCGGCCCCGACCTGGGCCCCTCGCAGCACATCGAGTTCACGACGGCGCCCAGCCGCCGGCCCGGGTCCGGGCGGCAGCTGCCCCCGGAGCTGCTCGCCCCGCCACCACCCTTCCGGAGAGGGCCCGGCGGCCCACCACCACGCGCCTCCCGGAGGAACCCCCGCGTCCTGAGGCCGCCGCCGAACGGAGGCTTCTCGGGGCTCAGGATTCCAGACTTCTCCAGCATCATCGGATGACGGGAAGGAGCTCAAATGAATTTGTGATAAAGGGAATGCCATGCTATTCCCGACCTTGCTCTTAGTGTGCTCTCCACGGCCGACCACCCTGCCTTACCAGTGAGAAAAGTGTCGTTTGGACAACGATTTGACACTCATTGATGCAAATCACTAAGTTATTGTTTTCTGCCATTTTCTATTATTTTACATCTTATTTAGTCTTGCAGCTCTCAATCAACTTCAAAGGCCTGAGTTCAAACGAACAAAAGTGATACAGGCGAGGGAGGTACAACAGCCGGTGGTGGAAGTTAGTATATCAAAGAGTTGAGGGTCAAATAGTCGAGAGTAGAGACGTGCTTCAGGCGGGACTGAATGGCACGCTAGTGACTGACGACGAGGACATATACGAACAATGGCAAATGGAAAGCACCATAAACAATTTTTGGCAGATGCGAAATTCATATCTGAATTTACGTCCAACGTATATTGTCGAACTAGAAGACTGACCTTTTTTTTTGTTTTGTATGTTTTTGTAGAGTTTTTTTTTCTGTAGGGTTTAATACTTAAAAGAGATAGTGGGACACAAAGTCATTGAGGTGTCTCACTGTTCTCACCTTCTTATCTCTATGCCCCTATTTGTAATTATATGTGGCCTGACTTGTTATAACATGAGAACAGACTTGGCAGGAAACGTATTTTAAGAGACAGTTCTAATTCTTCTTCTGAGTACTGAACTATTAGGGATTGGTTGATTTTTCTTTCCTTCCCTTTTCCTTGCTCTTTGATCCGTTTCCTTCTAAGTCTACTCCTGGCAACAAAAAGTTTCAATAATAATTTTCATTACTAACATTTTGCCTCTCATCGCTCTGTACATTTGCATTGTGTACATTGTATACATGTATACATAATTGAAATATGCTCAAGGAATTTATTTTTAACTTACTTCTTAAAACCACTTTCTCTAATGTATGTATATGTGTCATATTTGTTTTCTTTTGTAAATATTATTTGTAATACAACATTGTAATAGTTAACATGTTGAGTGCATATGGTTTTTCATTCAGCTTCTGGGAATATTGTGACCACACTCAATGTGTTAATTAATGGTTCTTTTGTACAGAGGATGCAGTAGAGTGGGATACTCTGATTTCGGAAGTTTGAACTTGTCATTATTAGTTTCAAGGTACCTATGGCTTTGTACGTACAGAATGTAGCAATGAATCAAAGCAAAATATTATCCTAGAAAACATTGTCCAAATTGGACGTGTATATAGGTCTACAGACCTGCAGGTCAACAAGAGAACTATGTGTGCCAAGAACCTCTAGAAAGGGAAAATGAAGTATGTAAATCAGAATCACATCAAATAAATTATTGTGAACAATAATTTTCTTTTTTACAAACAGACTTATTCAAAAGTACAGCATACTTTCCCACGCCTCTCCAAAGAAAAAGGGGGCAGAGCAGGCAAGAGTACAAATGGTTATAACTGGGGACTGGATGGATGCCTAGGCTTCACAACGGACATTACAAAAACAAAGTTGTGTGAAAAAAAGGCCAAACATGGAAAAGGTTGACCAGCATTTAATTAATCAGGCAGGTTTGAAAGTTGCTGCACTAATTGTATTACTTTATCTGCTATACAGAACAGTTCAAAGTCAAAGGAATGACAGTACAGCTAAATTGTTGAAGTACTATCTCTGGCTCAACGTTACTACAAAAAATCCCTACAAAATGCTAAAAACTTTAATCCATGATTGGTTCTGATGATGAGCTAAACGACGCGTCACAAAATTTGCATGACAAGCAAATAAAGATTTGATCAGAGAGCTTCTAAGAATAGACAGATAATAAATATTATAAATACATAAATGAAAAATGAGCAAAATGCATTTCCTCACTAAAACAAACACAATGTCATAAAATTATTAAGTTTTCAAACATAGATAGACCTATAACAGTAAAAACTAATGGCTCACTTGAGCACAGTACATACAACAATTATATACATACATCATCATTAACAAAAAAAAAAAAATCAAAAAAAATGAAATTTAATAAATTTTAAGATCTTGATAGATCTAACTCATAATGCTGCTTCCTAAAAAAAAAAAAAAGATGGGGGCTTGAATTTTACTGTTTGGCAGAGGTATATCAATCTTAGAACACGCTGACGTTATTATATGACAAATTTTCAGGTAAGAAAAAAAACTCCCACCCTCCCCTATTTTTTGTGATTTCAAGGACACAAAAACACAAAATACAAGATTCCTTTAAACACAGAGAATACAATGCTCCCCTGTCAAGGAACAAACTGATAGGAATTAGAAAATTTTCACCTGTCAATACATCTGCTATTGCTATTTTAAATGTATGTTGAAGCTAACAACTACAGTAGCAAACAGTGTACTCAAGAAAATGCCTCAACTCAAGATGCTGCTTACAATTAAGAAATACACTGAACAAACACAAAACTTTTTAAAGCAGAGACATGAATATAATACTAAAACATTGAAGTCGCATTGAATGGAAAGTGAGACATCGCAACAAATATACTACCTGTCATCTTAAGGGCCAGACAGCTTAATTTTTTTTAAAACTTAGAAAGTTACAAAACTCAAAATGAGGACCCACATGAAGTATTAATCATCTGATGTCATATGGAAATGCAACATTTATAAACAACACACAAACTTCTTCACATAAAATGTTAAGAAACTATTATAAAGAGTGATACAATCAACTACAGTTAGCCTATTTTAACTGCATTGAATGACATGGAAGAATACAAGGTGATTGCATTTTTGAAATACAGTACTAACATACTGAACAAAAATCATTTTCAAATTAGAACTTGGGACAACGACAACATCTGCCCACAACTGCTAAAAATAAGGCGAGAGCATTCTGCATTTCTTTAGGTTTAACCCAAATTCAGTTGCGAAAAATTGGTCAGTACAACATGGACTTGTGTACTGCTTTGGTAAGTTAAAAACATAACGCTAATACTGAAAAAATTAATGGTGTTTTGATGAACGTGATCTTGATGTGCTAGTTGCTGGGGTGCTAGAACTTGAACTTGTAGATGCTGTAGCATCTTTAGAGTCATCTCTCAAGAGCTGTTCAAGATCCAAGTCTTTTAAATCTATACTGCCATTGCCTGCAATCGGAAGTAATCATGAATAATTATTGAAAGTAACACAGAGGCATATTAAATTATCCTTCCATGACTATTGAACAATCAATGAGCGTATGTATTTACCAGTGTGGGCAAGAAAGAGGTCTTTTAAAAATCCTAGTTCTTTTGTGAGGAGCCGAATTTTTTCTTCTAAGAGCTCGTTTTCTGTCTTCAACTGGTTCACACGCTCCAGAGTTTGCTGAGTACGCATTCTGCTTTTAACTCGGCTCCTTCGTACAGCCTGTTACATTAAAAAAATACAACATATACTAATGAAACCTACATAAAATAGATTCGAGGGAACTGTGGCCAAGATAGTTCTAAACAGAAATCCATTATTGAAGGGGCAAATAAAATAGAGGTCATAAACAAGGGACAGGGAGAAATCCGTTGTAACTACAATATTACCATGCCACTAAAAAGGATTTTTTGATATTGTTATTCGTACCTGATTGTTTCTGTCCCTTCTCTTGCGATACTCCTCTCCATCTTTTTCCCATTCTTTATCAGACTCCTCTCTAGAGCTACTACCACCACCACGCCGCTTGGACTCCTTATTTTCTTTGTTTCTTGGCGCCATTCTGAAAATAAAAAAAAAAAAACATATGGATTAAGTGCCAGTAATAAAATGGTCTAGTAGGTAATGTGATAGATCCTCAGCCAGAAGTGGAACAATCACTATGGATTGAAGAAAAGGTGCACTGAAGGCCAACTATTGGGATGGATTTAGCATAAAAGATTAAATCCCTGCAAATCGGCCACAGCGAGTGTAACCTTTTCATCAGTCTCAGATAGACTTATTCAAGAAAGTCAAGGACTTATTAATAGGGTTAGGTTTCGTTTGTGATGATGAACATAGGTATTGCACAATGACACACAAACAGAAACTTTGACCTTGTGCACCGGGGCAGATGCTTAGTAGTCATGAAATATGAAAACAATTGCTTTGAAACTTAGATGCAAATCTCGTTAATGGCATGTAGGTTGAGGTATTACGCAATCTTGCAAACTGTTTCATTTAAATTTGCAGCGCCGAACAGATTTCACGCACAGTGATGTTAAGTTTACTGGTACTATAGAAAAACAGGTAAAATTCAAGATTACCTGCGAATTCGTGAGAATCAAACAAGCAGAAACGACTTGAAGTTGAGAATGACACACAAATAAACAACAACAAATTTCGAGTTTAAAGTCAACAAGGCAACAACAAACGCTCGATCACGACTGACTGCTGTATGAGAAGTTGCGGAACGGCGCCTTCGTCACTGAGTGACCTCGAGACACACTGGTCCCAACCTAAGGAAAAAATGAAAGTAGTTGAGGATAGGACCTGACGTTCATTTCCTTTCAGCACAGCAACATATACTTACTGACAGAACGAAAATTAGATATTAGACTCCACGCAGCTGCTGCTTGTACGAAAGTCCGGGATGGATTCTTAGGTTGGCAGAAGTGTGGCACCAGGCGCCTCAGATAAAAAAAAAAAGGTTCAAAAGAATCGTAAGAATGCGCTTATGAAGTTTGTGGTGCTGAACAGGTCCTTCCTTTGTTTGAAAGGATGTTCAAATTTATTTCACTGAATTACAAATTGATATATTTGGTTTACGGAAAATAAAAACAATAAGATTTTACAATTTTGAATCAGAAAGCATTGAGAAAGCTCTGATCTTTTGAGTCGAGGACCATGTCCATTTCAGGTCCAATGGTGTCTGGTAATGTAAGTCCTTGAACGTCTTGTTGCTCCAGTTGTTCTTGCAATTGTAAGCTTAACTGTTTAATCTCCTCCTCCTGATGGTGCGTTTCTACTCCCTCTTTTGATACTGAAGTTTCTTCAGTCTTTGGCTCAACAAGCTCAATCTAAGACAGAATAAAATCTGAGTTTAAATTAAAGCAACATACTGAGTAATGCATAACCAACTAAAACATAAATGACAATGCATGAGATACTCAATTTTACCATACCTTTGTTTTGGGCAAGACCGGAACAACAGTGTGATAAACACAAAATGCATCCTCTGCTATGTCAGGCAGAGGTTCTTTGCATTCACTGTCAGAACCAATTTTGCAGCCACAAGGTCGGAACAAAACTTGATGAGTGTCCTGTAAGATGTGCTTGGGACAGTACTTTGATACAGGTAGACTTCTTGCCCCACATTTAACACCGCCCTCAGTATACACACATTTGGGAAAAGGCGCTGGTCGTACATTCATACCATCAGTTACCTATAATCACAGAAAAATGTTAAAAATTAAAAACACAAAACAAAGAATCAATCTGATATTAATTGAAAAAGAAGTAAAAAAAAATCTACTTACAGAAGCCCTTCTTTCTAAAGCTTTCTTGTGAAGGACAGCTTCAACTCCATTCCTTCTATGGTAGTGATTCAAGGCTTTCAACTTTTCATATAACTTCTGTTCGCGGGGGGAACTACGGGGTTGACTACTTATACTACCTGCAATTCAAAATGCTCAATTATGACCTCTTTACATATGCCACAATAAAAAGGAAAAAAGAGTTAACAATAGTAGAATTGATTGAGGTTCAATCAAAATGTTATAAAATTGTACTGCTTACTTAAGGATTCTTTTTCTCGTTTCAGACTATGAAGATATTTGCGTCTTCGTTCTCTTAGCACATGTTGAAGTCTTCTAAATTGTTCAATGTATAAAGACTGAAGTCGTATAAGCTTATCCCTTGTTACTTGCATAGCTTCTTCTGAGGTATAGACCCCAGCATGTCTACAAAAAAGTCAAGCACAAAAAAAATTAAACAAGAACTTACCTTATAGAAAAAAACACATTTAAAAAAAAAAAGAAATAAAGAAGAGCATACTTAAGGAGATCTTCTTGCTGGCTATCAACACTTTCGGCATCACTTGAGTCTGCATCAGCATCACCACCTTTCCAAGTAACATCAAGCATTGCAGCATCTACATCAGAATCTGATTCACTAGCATAATCCAGAATACGAGATGATGAAGAGTTCACTGTAACTGCATCAACATCCACTGAAAAATAAGGGAAAAAGAGGATAGATGATACAAAATAAATTGTAAACAAAACATACTTGCATAATCGGCAGTACTTACAGAATGGATCAAGGGGTTCATCCGAGCTTTCCTCCTTAATTGGATTGTCAGGGCTTTGGGCAGTTTCAGATGAAACATAATGCCCTAAACTTGATAATAATGATTCTGTAGATGGTGGAGGAAAATGTCGTAAGGATGCTTTCTGCCTCTTCAGCTCTTCTTTTCTGGCATGTACAGGGCACAACCTAGAAATAATTAAAATTGAAAAGTACTTGCATGAAGGCTGACTTTCCAAATACTCTCCGAATCTTCACCCAACTTGACAAATGGTTTCTTACTACACACCCTTTGTTGCGATGATCTGCTTTGGAAGCAGGTTTAAGGCATGGCCTACCATTATATGCAAAGACAAAGCTACAAGGCTTGTATGGAGCATTTTTGTCTTCCAAAATATGTTGCATACAATAATTGTAACCTTCGAGACGAGAGAGAGAACAGTCATATTGCTTGAATCTGCATTTATTATCTTTCAGAAGACGCTCAGCATTTGTCTTTGAAAGTGGAGCCGGAGGGGGCTGCTGCTGTGACTGTTGACTACTTGATCCCGACATTGAAAGTAGTTGAAGATGACAATTTAAATCATAATACAAGTATTCAAAGCCTGCAAAGAAAAGACAAGGATTGTTAATCAAATGTGAAGTGTATGTTAGTGTTGAGGCTAGCTTACATTAAGACAATCATGAAGAGGTAAGGACTACAAATTTTAAAAAGAAAACTGTGAAAGGTAGAAGGACAAATGAAATAAAATCTGAGATAACTCCTAGATTTTCCAGGTAGTTATCTCTGATTTTCCAGTTTAGATTACTAGTAACTTGAAGAAAGTTGGATAAAAAGAACTAAGCATTAAGTGGTATTCATAAACTATGAATTGATACCTTGAACAACGGTTTTAAATTAGGGACGAGGATATATACGATATATCACAAACTGTGTTAGTGCATAACTGCAAAACGCTCCTCTACACAAGACAAAACATCCACCTCCATTCGGCCATCTTGCTTGACTCCGTAGCTTTCCATTGTTGTCCCCTTCAATTGCACTTCACATTTTTGAGCAGTGACTGAAATGTCATTAGTTTTCATTTTGTAAAACCGAATGGTAATGTTAATAACATTAAAATACAAGCAAGGAAAAAAAAGAAATGCAGTTTTTTGAATAAGTACTTGTCGCCTAGTCTCTTACTTCTCCTATTGGCAGCATTGGGCAGCATTGTTGCGATGAAAAATTTCTCATAGCGAAGTAAAAATTGGACCGTCTTGTGGCACCGTATTGCTATTGCCATGTCTATTCCAAATATAATGCATGAGTCTCTGCTCAGAGGCTAGGAGTTTTTAAAAGAGAAATTATGATGAGGATGGATATATTTACTTACGCCTACTAGGTTATCTGTCAGATGGGTTTTGGATGGTTTCGTCATTTAAATTCGATATGGTATCTGCGTAGCGTATTCATGTAAACCTGTCTCTCCTGAATTCCCAATTTTGTTGTGTTGTTCAATGCAATGCTCAACATATCAGAGTGGGATTTTGAAAAGGTTGAAGATGGCACTCACAGTAAGTATTTTCTTTTAAGATAATTTATTTTAAAAAAGGGGAGGGATTTGGTATATTTTTGTCCTGTGTGTTGTCCATTTTTTATTCAATTTGAGAACTTTGCTATATTTCTCTACCACTAGATGATTTTGTAATTGGTTTATATCACTTGATCCATTTTTATATCATGCATGCTGTAGTTACATAAACTTCTGCTGACCCCTTATGACCCATCTTCATTGTTTTTGAGACCTTTATTGGTATGCTTTCTCATTGGAATGACAATATCTTTCTTTACCTGCTTTCAGAAATTGCAGGAGAAGTACAACTTCGTAGCTTTGGTTCATTTCTGGAAGAATATAGCTCCCAGCTTCGGGGTATTGAAGAAGCTCTTGAAGATCATATCTCAGACTCCTGGGATATAACAATCGACCCCATAATATTACATGTGAGTTGATTGTCAGATGGATGAATTATAAGGAAAGATGTGAGATGTAAATTTCCACTGATCATTCCCCATCTTTTTCAGTTCCCTGCATATGAAAAAATTAGCCTTTTGGAACTTGTAGAGACCGACAATAAAATTCTCAGTAAAGTTCTTAGTGTGTTTGCAGTTCTCTGCTCAGAAGTTGATCTTCTAACAAAAGAAGCCTGTGCATCATTCTATGATGCTATACTTTACTATGGTGAAGGAGGTGAGTTTTGTGGTATTGTATGTCTTCTTTAACACGTTAATTCCATTTTTATAAAACTTTCTGAAAATTTCAGATGAGAGTGAGTCATTACCTGAAGGGGAATGGCAGGTGCAAGTGGCACGATTCCTACCCAAACTTCAGTCATTATGGTCATGGGTGAAAAGATGCAGTCAGGTGGGTCAAGAGCTAGTTGCCCAGTTAAGTGCTCTTTATTCTACTCAGTATAATGGGAAGCCGCTTGTGTGTGCCTCAGAAGTTCACTTTCAGGTATTTCAGTCTGTGTTTGATATATTATTTTGAGGTCTTGGTTGGCTGTTGGATGTACATTCATATTTTCACTACAGTACCAATTGTTTCCTTCCATTTATAGGAAGTTTTAGAACATCTGGGTGATCTTTTAGTTGCTTTGATCACAATTGATGAAATGCTTAGAAATCAAAGTACTCTGCATGACCATTGGACATTGTTCAGACGTATGCTGAAGTCTGTGCACCATGATCCTGCTGCTGTAGGAATTCAAACTGAGAAAATGCGTGCACTAGAAAAACTTGTTGGGGATTATGAAAGCACCCTTTTAAGTGGAAAAATTTTTCAGGTTAAAAATAATCTAACCAATTCATACTTTTCCTATTTCTTAACAATTTTCAATTGTTATTTTAGTTAACCAGATATTTTTATAATTATTGTCTTACAGTTGGTTATGCAGCAACTTACTGGTTTGGGTGCACGTTGCCCTGCTGTTGGAGATGAACTAACTGGCTTTGTAAGGTCTGCTCTGCTTGAACTTGAAACAAGACCTGCTGAGCTCCAAGATGCAGACCATTGGTCACGATGGGTAAAACTAAGTGCTCTTTTGGTGACGAATTTTAGCCTCTTTGGATCATTAGACAAAAAGGTCTTCAAGCAACTTTGGGATATCAACAAAAAGGTGAGTAATCTTGTTCTTCAAGATACATAGCTAAGAATGAGTGATGTTCAGTTACTATTTTTCCTAATATTCACTGTCTAGATACCAGCTGTTACACTCTATGCCAACATTGTGTGGTTCCCAGAACAATTTCTTCTTTCACACATTCCACAACTGAACAAAGTTATTGACAAGAAAGCTCAGCAACAGGTTTCTGCTGCAAGACAAGCATTTTTAACCCTTAAAGCTCAAAGTCTTCCCAAGGAGGTCCAGCTTCATTCATTACAGGTAAAGCATTTTAAAATACTGTAAATTTTGATTATTTACCCTTTTGGTTTTGTAAAAAACTATCCATACATCTGTAATTTTTAAGGCTTGCTGCTGGATGGTTCAAATGGAGACTGCCCTGCAAAAAGAGTCATCTCACCTGAAACTTGATGACATTAACAATATTTGTACACTCTTGTTGCAAGTAAGGCTATTTTACTGCACTACTACAATATTGTATTTAAAGGTGCTGTATCTCAAAATCCTTTTTTTTTTCCTTTTTCAGGGAGTGCAGTTGGCATGTGGAATGAGCCGTTTACTACGCACTCTCACCAATCTTCATGTTGCATTGGCAAAGCCAATGAGTCGTTCTTCAGTTGTTGCTCTTTGTCGCCTGGTAGAAATTTTGCAGGGTATTCGGAGCATGTACCATAGGCATTCCATATCTATTTCTCGATCTGTTGTACATGTCAGTCAACACTTGCTCTATCAAGCTTTAACAACAGTTACCTCTGCCAAGGTGAATGTTTGTCTCCTTCTGAAAGTTAAAAATTGTACTCCACTGTAATACTCTACATTACAAATTTACTCATTTCTCCTCCAGAAAGGATTGGTGCAAAACAAAAAATACAGTGAACAGCATCTGGATGTATTATCATCCTTACTGGTTGTTGAAAGGGCAATGTATGGTTGCATGACAAAGGAGCGTAGGCTTGTTTCACGATTAGCACTTTCAATGGCCAATCAAGGGCGTACATTTCGTGATGAAGAATATGTAACACTTCTTGTAAGACATATTTATTTTTGCAATTTCATGTTTTTTTATTGTATAATTTTAATTATTTCATCATCTAACAAATACTATTTTTCCTGTTTTTTCTCTCTTGTAGCGAACTCTCAGAAAGCTTGATGCAGTTTGTGACATACAGACGCGATTATCATCTGCTTGTGATTGCTCGTTCCTGTATTGGCACAGGATAGTTCTCCCTATTTATTTTGAGAGTTTGTATGCTTCCAAAACTGATCTTCATAGACTGGGGGTTAGTGACCTTAATCTCTGCCCAATAAAGTGAACTACTGTTCTTAAAAAAAAATAAAAAATAATCAATTAATCAATATTTGTTCCAGTATATGCTTTATGCTCTACGAGACTGCATACGGTCGGTGAATAATAGTGGTGACAATTCTGAGTGTCTGAGAGAAATGCTAGAAAAAGAAATCTGGGAATCATTGCGTAAATATATTTTAGATCCTCTGTGCCATGACATTGAAACAAGTTTAAGACTCTCAGTGCATGTACATCTTCAAGTAAATGAAAGAAATCCTTTTACTAGCAGCATTCCTGATTATGGCCCACTTTTAAGGGTTAGACCTATGCGCTTTTTCGACAAATACATTGATATTAAGGGTTAGTTTTGTTACCTCTTGATATTAATCCCACACGCTTTCCATTTTAATTTAAAAAAAATAAATAACTCTTTGACATTTTTTCAGGCTATGTAGAACATCATCTGGATCAAACATTTTATAATCTCACAACTGTAGCCTTGCACGATTGGAGAACCTATGGGGAAATGCGTTGTTTAGCAAAGTTCAAGAACAATTTGGTGACGGTTGAGGACAACTTGCCAAGTCAAACACTTGAACAAGGCCTTGATGTGCTGGAAATCATGCGTAATATTCACATATTTGTATCAAAATACCTCTACAATCTTAACAATCAAATATTTGTAGAGCAATCAAGCAACAATAAGCACTTAAATACCATCAATATCCGTCATATTGCCAATTCAATCCGTACCCATGGTACAGGTATTATGAATACCACAGTAAGTAGTACCTACACCACTGGTAAATTATCTGCCTAAAACTTTCTGCGGCATAGTGTAATGATTTGTCTGTTTGTGCTTAAATCACATTTTCATTTCAGGTCAATTTCACCTATCAATTTTTGCGGAAAAAGTTTTTTATCTTTTCTCAATTTATGTATGATGAGCATATAAAATCTCGTCTTTTGAAAGATTTAAGATTTTTTCGTGAAAACAAAACACAGTTAGAGCAAAAGTATTCTTATGAGAGAGCTGATAAATTTAACCGTGGAATCAGAAAGCTTGGAATAACTCCACAAGGGCACAGTTACCTGGATCAATTCAGAATGCTCATAAGTCACATAGGTAATTTAATATTACATGCAATCTTAGTTATTTTGTGGTTATTAAAAAATAAACAAGTTAACACATATTTTTATTTTTTTGTTTTTATTAGGCAATGCTATGGGTTATGTTCGTATGATAAGATCTGGTGGTCTCCACTGCTGCTCAAACGCCATTGGATTTGTCCCTGACCTGGAAGACGTTGTTAATTTTGAATCATTGTGTGTGAAAGAGGGTTTGTCTGAAACATGTGTCAATGCAGCAAAGCAGCTTGACCATGTAATTGAAAATTTGGGAAGGAATTTTGCTGAAGGCACTGAGTATTTCAAGCTTTTGGTGAATGTTTTCTCTGGAGAGTTCCGTAAGCCAGAGAATAATCATCTTCGTAATTTCCACATAATGATTCCTCCACTAACTATAAATTTTGTGGAGTATATAATAGCCGCAAAAGAACGCCTCACCAAGAAAAACAAAGGAAATGCTGCATTCACAGATGATGGTTTTGCCATGGGTATTGCATACATCTTGTCTCTCCTTGGACTTCAGGCAGAGTGGGATGCACTCCATTGGTTTGAGTCGGTGCAGGGAAAGTATGCTCTAGAAAAGGCAGCTCTAGCTGATCAGAAAGGCTCCAGCCGAGGCCAAGAAGATGAAAAACTACAGCAAACCATGACACTCACGGCCCGCAGGCTTGATGTCTACCAGCAGGTAAAATTAATTTATAGCTCTTTATGCATTTTACTTAAAAAAATCTAACCTTTCTTTGGAAAAAAAATTATATTTGATTTTTAATGTTGCAGGAGTTTGAACTTCTTCATTATAGTCTCAGCAGTGCAAGGATTTTCTTCCAAAAGGAGGAGATAACTGTAGAGGGCTCACAAGATAAAGTTGCTTGATATTCCCAGACCTTACTTCTTCTCATATCAGAACTTGTGCATTTTTTTCCACTTTATTGAAACTATGGCATAGACCATGTTATGTGATATTGTTCTTATGAATTTATGTATTTTTTTTAAATTGTTGTGTAATTTTGTCAACCTGTCATGTTGCTGAGTAAACTAGTCACAAGCTCACATCTTCCAAGTTAAAACCCTCTTTAATTAATAGATCATTTCATTATTTTATTATGAATAAATAAACTTTATTTAGGTACATACATTGCATTGATTGTGCGTCTCTAAAACCTGGTTTAAAATAAAATATTGTGTATTCTTAAGTGAGTTCAACCTGAATGATTAGACCTGTGAGTAGTTCCGATCGATTATCATTCCTACGAAGAGTATCTCTATTTAACGAATTCAGACATTTCAAGACAAGTGATCGATAAACGTGCACACGTGCGGACGGCTCGGTGTGGCGTGCCTTCGTGAAAGCATCCTGGTGCTCACTCGTCGAAAAGCCGAAGTGTGCGAATAGTGAACAGGATCACCTCCCCTCTTCCAGCAGGCCAAGGGCGTTGCACAGGCAGACACTGCGCCCCGATGGACGCGGCAACCAGAGCGTGGTCTTTCTCAGCCTTCGAAGAAAAGTGGCCGTGAAACGTCATGGTCAGTCGCCGAAGGCGCGTTTGCGCACGCACTTGTATGCGTGTGTGCGGCAGCAAGCGGGGAGGGGGGGGGGGCTCGCAAGCACGAGCGTGAGTGTGTGTGGTCCCTCATATCCGTGGAAAGCACGAGGACTTGTCTTGCTCCAGGTCGGGCTGGGGGAGAAAAAAAAAAGAGCGTGCAGAAGCGGTGTGTGTGTGCGAATTAAAATACCTTCAAACTATCTGTAAACGAGTGCATTTATTTACACTTGCACTTTAATGCCAGCGTTTGTCTGCTTTTCGAAGTGGTGCAACAAACGTGTGGGACGGAGGGTTCCGGGTTGGCGTCAGCCTGACGACCGCCGCGTAGACATCAAGTGGTGTGCGACGCAAGGGTGTCGCGCGGGGCTGCCTACCCGGGAGGCCACAGGCGCTGGGGACAGACCAAGATGTCCGGGGGGGGGGGGGAGGGGCGTGAGAACATTTACGACGCCGAGCGGACCTATTTCTACGACAGTCGGTTCTGATAAAGCTTGCTGTGACCGTTTCGGTTGTAACTACAAACAGGTACTTGGTGGTGGACCCCACCCCACGGTGACAACTGCAGGTGACAAACACCTCCAAGGGACTCCGCTGAAGTTACGGGCGCCGGGTAGGCAACGGCGGTGGGTCGCGACGCTCGGCTGTCGTAAGGAGCTGCCTACCCAGGAGGCCACAGGGGCCCGGGCCGCGCATTGCTGCCGGTCTTCCTGGAGGCGGTCGGGCCCGAGGCCTCGCCAGCCGCACATGCCGCTGGTGCAGTGCTCGCCACTCGGCTCCGCACAACAACAACTTTCAGATTCTGCCCCACTATTTCGCCCGTCTAGTCGCACTCGCTCCACTCATCGCCATTTTGACGTCAACAAGTGAAAACTGCTCCATGGCCCCGCCGCGGCGAAGCTTCTGCCGCGCAGGCTCTGCATTGGGGCTGCGCTCCGGTGGCCAGGCCCGGCGTTGTTGGCGGGCCCCCTTTGGCTGCCTGGGGGGACCAACCGGACCGGGGGGCCCGGCCGGGGCCCGGGCCAGATGAAATGTGCACGTGCTACACAACAACCCAATAATGAGTCCGACTGCTTTAAACTACCGCTGTATATCAGAGAAACCGTAACATTGTTTTAATCGTGTGTATTTGTACTTGTCGGCAATTCATCCAGTGTACCTCAAAAAGAAGATCAAGCGAGTTGCTGTGCAAAGAAGGGATCGTCCCGAAAGTGCGTCCGTTTTTCTCGGATTCATTCGGCACATTACGGGAGCACGGCGCCTGCGAGACCCGGGGTAGTCCACCCCGCAGTACACGCATGCGCTGCAGGCAAGACGTTGCCTACCCATCAGGCGCTTATGATGAGCGCTTGCAGAGACTGAACTTGGCAGGTTCGCATCGCTACGGCAAATGACGGACGTACTTTCCTGATGACGATATTGTAATTTTTGTTTGAAAGGTTGTGTCGTTTTCGCGGTGTGCTTGCTTTCAGACCACATATATCCTGCTCCAGAAAGTTACACCCGCCGCGCCGGGGCACCCTACTACTAAAATCGTTCTCCTTATTACCCCTGGGCGCGCAACTCTTTCTCTCGCGGGCGAGCTCGGCGACAAGGCGAGAAAAAGTTTTCTGCGTCCCCCGCTCCAGTCTAGTTGCACCCATCTGGTGTACGGAGGCGCAGCCGCCCCGCCGCGACTGGCGTTGGTGTGGCGTGGCGTGGTGTGGCGTGTCACGTCGCGGCTGCGGTAGGACGCGACGCTCGCCGCGGCAGCACCATGCACCGCAGCGTGCACCACCACGCACCTCACTGTAATATGGAAAAGAGAGAAACTAATTTATACCATATTTTTTAGACAGTCGCCTAAAGACTGTACCAGAAGAAAAAGTCCCCCCTCCCCTCCCCTCCCTTCATGCTATCTTCAGTGCAGAGCGCGCGATCGGCGTTTTTTGTCATTTTCGATTTGCTAGGGATATTGTAAATTTGCGGTCGGTATCGTAAATTTACGACGGGATGGTTTTGTTCGCCAAAGAATTCCAAGTCGATACCCTTGCCTGTGTGATGAGGGTTTTGTAATTTTACAGTTTAAAATCGTAACTTTACCAAATTTCTCTTGGAAAGTCTTCCAGTAAATCCCACAAATGTTTCCCGCAGTGCTCGCGCGCACGTGCGTGCGTGCGTGCGCCCGCGCCTCGCCCCGCGCGCCTGCTCGTGTCACCACAATGCTCAGATTTCCCTTTCCAGGATGACGACGGGCTTCGCTCCGCAATAGTGACGATGATAGTTTAGTTTGCTGCAGACTCGGAGGGGGTGTTCTGCACGGTGGTGTGCTGTACGTGCTCCAAAACTAATTCAGCGAGCGGTTTCTGTTTCGTCGTTCGTGATGAAAAGTGGATGATGTCGGTAGATTCGGACAAAATGCGAATGCACTAAAAACACTAAAGGTGAGGCAGGCAGCAACCATGCTGTTTATGATTTTATTCAGGTGCGCACATAAACAGCTCCTTGCGCAGGCAACTTACTTGATCGTTTAACTTTCGAGGCACCGCGATTGACCAGCAGCGCCCTCAACTACTACCGGTTTGTTTGACAGGGACTAAAGTTTCATTTTAGTATAGCTTAAGGGAAGTGGAAGGGGACGCGGCCGCTCAGAAAGGCGAGGACCGCCCGGCTATTCGCCCCACCCGCCCCAC